TTTGAAGGTAGTATCAGCAGGATTCTCCATAGAGTAAGAGTGTAAGAGAGTGGTCAAGGACAATTTCAAGGTTTTGTCCCAACAACTGGAAAGATGGAATTAAGAATAGAAAGATCACTAGAAGAGCCAGCTCAGGAATGAAGGTGAAATTCAGATGCTCGCTAGTTTTAGGTATGTGACAGAGATCTAAGGGGAACAACCAAGAAGGCAATTGAATTTCCTGAGGAAAGCCTTGAATTTGTCAGCATGTAAGTGATTTCTAAGGAAGGGCTACCTACAGAATTTGTGGGGCCCAGTGAACTGTAAAAACTCATGCCTCTTTGCTCAAAATTATTAAGAATTTCAAAACAGTGACAGCAGAGCATTAAACCAAATGTGAGACCCTTCTGAGTGAAGGGACCTGTGTAGAGGTAGCACACCTAGAAGGCCAGTCCTGGTTTAAGGCCATAATTCTAATTGTGATGATCAAGAGAGTAATGCAATAGATAGGTAGGTAGATAGATGATATAGATGATAGATAAATAGATAGATGATAGATAGATAGATAGATAGATAGATAGATGATAGATAGATAATAACAGTCTAAGGAGTGAGGTCTGAAGTTCTTCATCGTGAAGATCAGAGGTGAGGAGGATCCCTTAAAATTGAATGAGAAGGAGAAACCACCGGCATATTTGAACAAAACAAAACAAAACAAAAACGATGCTAAAATATTTGATATAGACTTCATGATGCTTCATTAGGTCCAGGATCAGCCAAAAGAGCTGGGTCGTTGCCTCTGGGGTTTGCTGTGCCCAATTGTCAGGAGTTTTATTAGAGTGGTGGGTTGATTTGGGGATTTTACCACCTGTAAAGCAATTCCAGAGTTTCTCTTTAAACTTTACTATCTTTAAATTTTTTTTTTAATATCACTTCCAGTAATTAAGAAAATTTTGAAGTTCATTGGCCGAAGCCCTACTGAAAAGCAGAAGAAAATTCCTTTATGGATGCAGGTGTGACTTTGGCAGACACACAGATGAGGAAATAGATAGCAGAAGCAGAGAAAGGCAGGCTTTAAGTATTAACACAGCTTTCTAACTGATCAGACTGTGTGCGAAACAGTCAAATAGAACCTGGCTGACTGTAGCAAAATGTGAGATTAAACTATCTAGGGCAATGCAGAAATATTCAGGAATAAATAATGAATTTATTTATTATCACATGGCACAAACCTGCCTTGAGTGTTATGTCTAATAATTGGTTACTTTAGTTACTAAATTGTTGAAAACTTACCAGATTGGATATCAGAGTTTATAAAATTCTGTGTGCAGGTAGCTGTTTGAAGTAAAAGCCTGACCTTTCTCCTGGAGTAATAAAACCTCTTCCCTGCTCACCATTCCTGGAGTCTTTAATGATTTAGGCTGGGACCCACATGCAGTAGACCCTGGATGTGCACAAATGACTCTCTGGAGAATAAAGAGGGAGCTCTAATAGGTCTCAGGAAAGATGTCATGTTAGTATGCTCCATCATGCCAGCTCCTCCCTGGCTTACCCTGAGATCATTTAAATCTGCTCAGTGCATCTGACTGCTTAAGGTTGAAAATGTCCATGAGGTGTGGAGGCAGAGAAAGTGACAGGCTATCAGTGGACATATTAGAAAAGATACTCCCTTTCCTCCAGGCATTAATATTTTTGAGTGACAGGGGGCAGAAGGTGAGACATAAATAAAGGTTGGAAAAAAGTTTACATTAACATGTCCAATGCCATTATCAGAATCTCTCAATGGATTTATGTTGGTTATATAGTTATTATAGTTAATATAGTTCCCTCCCACGTTCTGGTGAGCTATAATTTGCTACAGAGAACCAGTGTCTTATTCTAAGATGGTAGCACAGACAGTGAATATGGCCTTGACATGAACAAACAGAGCTGACTTTGGAGCATAATTTTATTCTTCCTGCTTTGAAGTAACATCACAAAAGCCTTTTCCTCGGTATCATATAGTTAGAACATGGCTATCAGCTATTCAGTAAACAAACTGTGTGTTTTGGATAATCAGCTCTTCGGACCCTCATTCTCTTGTCCTGTTTACCTGGAAGGGTGCTTTGTTAGCATCCTAGAAGACTCAAAGGTGTAGGGCAAATATCTTTTGTTGAGCTACTACTATTTTGTGCCTTTGAGACATTTTATAAAGATCATGTCATTCCACTCTATAGCCCTTCTGTGAGAAAAGTAATACCTCCCCCATTTCATAGGGAAGAAATTAAAGGTCAGAGAGGAAAATAGGCTCACACAGCTGTCCAGTTGCCAGAGAAATTTTATTAGAGTTTGAATTGTTATCTGGTGGGTCCAGGTGGGGTTTTACTACTCACAAGGCAACTACAGAGTTTCTCTGTAAACTTCATCTTAAACAAACAAACGAACCTATAAATGGTTCTGTTCCTTTCTTACGTGGCTCAAATAATTAGACTTTTCTATTGGTATGTAAAAATCCATGAGTTCTTTTTGAATGAAATACTCATTTTCAATCTTTTAATATAATCTCTCCATATCTCCTTAAATACGGGAGACAGTCAGAATCCTATAATCCATGATAGTAAGGATTTAGGTTTTCTAAAATGAGAGTAGGTGGCATTTTTATTTCTTTATTTGTTTTGTTGCTGCTTTCATTGAGGTTATAATATATATAT